ATGATGAGGGCAGAGTCAACAGAAATAATACGAGGAGCATGGGTCCTGATGACAGGTAGATCTAGGTTCTCTCGTACTTCAGATAGGTTATCAGGTCTGGGGGCCAGACCCTGGAGAAGGACATCATGCTTGGCAAAATGGAAAGTCAGCAAAAAAGAAGAACACCCCCAATGAGCTGGATTGGTAAAGTGGCAACAGCAGTGAGCGCAAACATGAGCATAATTGTGAGGGTGGCTCAGGACTGGGCAGTGTTTTGTTCTGTTGTGCATAGGGTGACTATGAGTCAGAACCAACTCAATGGCACCTAACAACAACAACCCCTAAAAAGAATTTTTCAAAAATGCATAACACTTACACATTTTCTACATTGAAATCTAGTATTTTTCACGAGTTTAAATAGTAACAAAGGATGAAATTTGACCATTTACAAATATAATAAATACGTAAATGATACAAATTTATTGTATAAAAATACATTTATTATACAAATATAATAAATACAAAAATATAAATAAATACATAAATATGACCCTTTACAAATAAAACTCTCACATAACTCATGTGAATGTAGCCAGTAGAATCAAAATGCCATAGCTACTTGATGCCCACCATCATCCACAAAAGAAAGAACAATTTTTCCATTTGAGATGAGGATTTTTCTTTTTTCCATGAACTCATATTTCCATTCCCTTCCCTCACAAAATTTTATCTAAACATACGCTGATAAACTTGGTTCAACATTCTTTTATTGAGTACTATATCATACTTTCAATAACAAGTATAAATATGAATTGAAACTTATTTTATTCTAGAATTTTCTGTGACCATAGATTTAGAGTATTTTAAAGAAAAACATCATCTGGGTTGAGTTTTCATTATAATCATTATTCAGATATCATAAATTTAAAAGAACATAAATATATTGTAAATGTTAGTATTTCCAAAGTTAAAAACTAGCTCTTAATGAAACTCAAGTTTTTCCTCAATTAGTTTATGTATCCATGAATGACTGCTCCTAGAATAGGAGAATTCAACATCAATTCTAATCTGATTTATGTATATATTAATGTAAGTACTAAGAAAATTTATGCTTATAAATAAGCATGTGAGAATGGAAAGAGTTTGATAAACGAAAAGACAAACCCACTACCATCGATCCAATTCCAACTCATAGTGACCCCCGTACAACACAGTAGAACTGCTCCATAGGTACCTAGCAGCCGGCAGGTACAGGGTCTCCTAGGCTGTAATCTTTAGGGGAGCACATCATCATCTTTTATTCCTCCCACAGCGACTGGGTTCAAACTATCAACCTTGCAGTTAACAGCCCAATGCTTAACTCACTAAGAAAACTTATTCTTATAAATATGTAGGAATGGATAGAGTTTGATTAAATTTTGTTCAGTTTTTGAAAATCTAAGAATTGCAATCCCACAATGATCTACCATCAGAGTATATTTTTCATGATACACTAGCCTATATCAACACTAACTATATATTTTAAAAAGCATTGACAGCTACCTGACTTACCAAGGTAATTGTTTTCCAGTGAATCATGTACACTTAGGATTGTGTGTTTTTAAGTTGATACTACAGAGTTTTTACATTTTGGAGCAGTGTACCATGGTAGTTAAAATTCAGAATGGGTAAAGGAGAAGGGCAATTGTCAAAGAGCAGGTGTGAATGGAGAGTAGGTTTCTCCATCACAGGTATTGCCAGCAAATTTTAGCAAATAATACATATGGAAGTGTAGGAACTGAATACTGATTTCCTTTTTTTTTAAAAAAAAAAAAATGCTTTGATATCCCTGGAAGGACTTTACCCCAGTTTTAAGGACAACACTTTAGAGAACAATCTTCATTAAATGTCTAAAATCAATTGCTGTGGCATAGACCCCTACTCATGACGACCCCACCGTGTGTGTCAGAGTAGAACTGTGCTCCATCAGTTTTCAATGGCTCCAGAGAAAAGATTACCAGGTCTTTTTTGGCCCGTGCTCCTCTGGGTAGACTAAAACTTCAAAACTTGTAGTTAGCAGCTGAGGGCTAAGGATTCCTTATAAAATGTCATGAAATGTCCTATTAGTCTCCAGTCTTAATGGATACAGTAATTCACCTTTACTTTTATTTACCTCTTGCCACATCTCAACATCTTCTTTAATAGGGAGTTAAACTGGACCTTCCATCTAGAGATTATTTGATTGACCATAGTCCCTGAGAAGAGAAGGATAGCTTACTTATTACCATTGACAACCTTGGGCTCTGATCATTGTATTTATACTATTTTATTACAATAGTAAGAAATATCACCTATACCAATACATCAATAAACCCAAACAAAACCCTCTGTGGTCCAACTGATTTTGACCCATAGCTATTCCATAGGTCAGAGTAGAGTGGCCACATAGGATTTCCAAGACTGTAATTGAAGGATCAGCATTGGACTGCTAACCTCAAGGCTGGCGATTCAAACTCACCAGCTACTCCTGAAAACCCTGTACAACATCAATATTAGTCAGAACCAACTTGGTAGCACTTAGTAACAATCTGTATGGAAGCAAACATACAGTTAGCAGTCAAACTCTTAACTGCTGCACCACGCGGGCTCCTTAATACAGCGATGTTGTTGTTGTTGTTGTTAAGTGCTGTCAAGTCCATTTCAACTCATAGCAATTCTGTATAGGGTTTCTGAGGAGTGGCTGGTGGGTTTGAACTGTCAACCTTGTGCTTAACAGTCCTGTACTTATCCTTCAGTGCCACACCAGACTCCAGTACAGTGATACACCTTGGAAATTTCTATATTGCAGACTTCACCTGTCAGTTTCCAGAAAGTTGCTAAATCTCTCCTTGGCTCAGTGCTAAGTGGATCTCATCTGAACTTCTTTTGCAGTGTTGGCATACCTGTACTTTATTTTGTGCTCAGCTTGCCTTCTGTTACTTTTTGCATAAGACTTTTCTGTACCTAGTTTTATATTTAACAGGGAAGAATGGATGTTGAAGCCTACTGTGCTTAGGTTTGACTTGTTTTTGAGTGTGTTTATTAGTTAGAAGCTGTGTGGTAGCTAACTTCAGAGACTCTATGCCCTGCTGGCTCATGAACTATTCCCCTTGTAGGTGAGGCATTTTCCCACCTCCCTACTCTTGAAACTCACTTACATAACAGTGTACCATGCCCAACAAACTTCAAATCCCCAGGGGTGACTCAGAAAATATAAATGAAATATCATTAAGGCTGGGACAGAGGTTTGGTGCTTAGAAATGTATGGAATATTAGCTCTAGTCTCTCCTAAATTCAAACAGAAGAAAATAAAGTGGAAAATCTCCCAGGTTTCTCTGTTTCTGTTTTGACTTCAGAGCAGTCTGTGAGTTGGAAGAGGCAGACTCATTCTCCACCCAGGAAAGCATCTCCTAGACATAACTAGAAAGTACAACCGAAATTCATCTGGCAGATCCTTTCAACACTCACCCCCCTTGTCTTGGTTAAGGAGGAATTGCTGAGCCAAAGTATTTCAGAATTTCCAAGAACCAGAAGTATTTTTTTTCTCAGAGCTTTGGCTCATCATTTATAAGCTGTTGTGATTCTCTATTTATCAACATTGATACCTTCCAGAAAATATGCTAGCTACAACACATCACAAAGCCTGCTTCTACAAAACAGTAGGGAGAGGGAAATACTAGTGATCTGCTGGAGAATTTAATCTTTGATTCCAAAGAACCCTATTTTGAAAATTGTGTCTTCTTTGTATCTTTAAACCCCTAGCCCCAAATTTGGACAAAGTAGCTATGTTTTGGTAAACATTTGTCAAAGTCACCATTGACTACTGCTGTTGTTAAGTGCCAGTTGAGTGGGTTCTGGCTTATACCAACCCTAAATAGTGTTTCCAAGGAGCAGCTGGTGAATTTGAAATGCCAACCTTTTGATTCAAATGAGCTTGCAGTCCAGTAGTTAGTCTACAGCGTCATACCAGGACCCCTGATAACTTCTAAATTGGCTAGATGGTGATGATGGTTGACAATGTGCTTCAGTTACTCTGATTTCTCAGCTAGCCTACAAGGTCTCTTTTTGCTTACAGAAAATGTTCAGGGAAAAATAAGGCCTCATGTGAATCCCCTTTTCTCCTTGATGAACTCTGCAAAGAACTGAAACATGTAAGAGTGGTTCCAACAACAGATCTCGGTTATGTTTTTAATGGTTTGTTGTTGTTTATTGCCTTCGTGTCGGTTCCGACTCCTAGAGACCCATTTTCAATTAGGTAATTTTAAAAATTAAGATTTAAAGCCTCAAAAACCCTATATTGGGTTTTCTCCTGAGGAACAGCTGGCCGGCTCAAGTCACATACCTTGTGGTTTTTAGTCCAGTGCTTATCAATAAACCAAGTGAAAGGCAGATGGCATGAAAAGGACATGCCCTCAGCCAACAGCAACACTCCAACCCATGACAGCACAAAATCTGCTTGTAGGGTCTCATTTGTTGTCCAGTCAGACAACCCAGTAACTAGAAGTGCTAGGAAGACATCATGTTTAACGTTATATGTTGCTGTTGTTAAGTACTGTCAAGTCGGGTCTGACCCATAGCGACCCTGTATTTGATTTCCAAGGAGCAGCTGGTGAGCTTGAACCGCTGACCTTGCAGTTCAAACTGACTTTGCAGTCCAACACATTAACCCACAGCACCATATCAAGAGTTACCTAATTGAAAATCACTTTTCAAAGGAAATAGAAAACTGTGGTGAGCCATTTTATTCCTTGGTATCAAGTCTCATAAAATTTATGAAAAGAAGTTGCATTCTAGTGATTGTAACCAATTTGGGGAATTATTTCTTGACTTGAATTGACCATACTTTTGCTCTCCCTCATTACCACAGATAACCAGGAAGTGTGAGTCAGCATTTGACCTAGCAACATGATTTGTTCTAGAATGGTAATGCAGGTTCATGTTTTTCTTCCTCCGTAGTTGAACAAATGAAGCAATTTCTTCTTCTTTTTAAATTTTGATTTCAGTGACAAAATGTTCCCAGCCTTTGGATTTGGAGCCAGAATACCCCCAGAGTACACGGTGAGTGAGTGGGGATGTCTTTCACCTTTGGGTTTCCTTCACAGGGGTCCCACTTTTGGTCTTTGACATAAACTATGTAAATGGGGTACAGAAATGGCCTGAAGCATCAGATAGATTATCTGCTCAGAGCCTGAGTCTTGATAAAACCCGAGCTCCTGCTATTCTGACTAGATCTTCTCAGAGGCCCCTTTGTGTAGCTTTGTATAGACATAGCCAGAGACAGGGAAAACACAGGAGGTTATTTCCAGTGACTCAGATCCTATTTATTCAGATCTCCCTTAAGAAAAAAAAAACAAACAAACCTAGAAATCTATATAATGTAGTCTACAGATTCCCTTATTCCAAAATTCAGATACAGCCTTGTGTGGGAGAATCAGATAAGTGCTGGGGGACTGGGAGGGAAGGGGGGGAGAGACCATTCTGACTTGGAGTATTGGGAAGCTGAAAGATTATTTTACAAAGACATTGGGATCCTATTTGGTTTTGATGCAGAGGCTCTCTGTGGTGGTATACAGGTGTTCCTGTGAGTCACAGTTCACCTGGGAACTCAGTTCTCAGGGGTTGGCAAGCCGTGCCGAGGCAGCAGGGTCAGTGTCCCCAGTTCAGCTTGACCAATGCCTCTGAGGCCTGAGCTAAGTGCAAACAGCACTGCCCAGTCATCAATTTCTCGTTTACGGACTGTATCTCAACAACAGGTCACGAAAACACACGACTCTTGCTTCCTTGCCAGAAATATCAGACCAAGGGTCTTCCCCTCCAATGTCCTTTGTGAAAGACTGAATCAGTCTCCCTGTCACTACGGGGCTAAGCAGTGAATGAACTGCCAAGACTTCCTGACCTGCCTCATTCTTGTTTGCCTTGTATTTAACACTAGTCTCCCTGTTGGGCAAAGGTATGGGATTCTAGAAGCATTTGTTGGAAATCGAGTACATGGGGAAAAAGATGATAGAAGAGGAGTTATCAACTACTAGCCTATATGCATTTTTTCAGCCTATAGACATGTTATGGAGTCCTGGTGTGACACTGTAGGTTAAGCACAGCACTGCAAGGTCAGTTGGAACACCAGCCCCTTCTCAGAAACCCTACACAGGGTTATTATGAGTTGGAACCAACTTGACAGCACTTAACAACAACAACAAAATTGTTTTGGAGTGCAGTGGCTCTAGAGGATAAACGCTGGACCGAGAACCACAGGTCAGCAGTTTGAGCCCACTAGGGGCTCTGTGGGAGAAAGATGAGGCTTTCTGCTCCTGCAAAGGCAAAGATTTACAGTCTTGGAAACCCTATACAGAATCACTATGAGTCAGAATCAATGTGACAGCACTTAACAACAATAACAAACATGTTATATTTGACACACATATATTTTTTTAATTGAAAAAAAATTATATTTAGAATTAGCCAGCTGGACTCTGTTTAGATTATCCCAATTTTGTTGGCAACCTCCAAAGCGTGATAGTCAGGAGCCAGTGGAACCTATGCCTTCTTTTCTCCATCAGGCCTGATTAAGGTGTTGACCTTGGCTACATCAGTGTCATAGGGTTTCATCACAGTCTGTTTGATCTGGTGCTTATTGGCCTTGACCTCCACAGTGAACACAAGTGTGTTATTATCTTCAGTCTTCTTCATGGCTGAGTCAGTAGTCAGAGGGAACTTGATGATGGCATAGTGGTCAAGCTTCTTTCTCCTGGGGGCGCTATTCCGAGGATATTTGGGCTGCCTCCGGAGCCTCAGAGTCTTGGGCCGCTGGAAGGTGGGTGACATGTGGATTTTCTTTTTGTGTGTGGCTGTGCATGCCTTTCAGCACTACCTTCTTGGCCTTCATCGCCTTTGCTTTGCCTTCAGCATTGGGAGGGGCAGGGGCTTCCTTTTTCTCCTTTGGCGTCATCTTTGTAAAGAAGGTGACACACATATTTTTTTAAGAATTGGGAGATATAAAATGCCAGATTCTGGCTTCTCTTGAAAAACTGATAGGCTTGGTAAGAGTAAAATGAAAAGATGACACACACAAGAATGAGCCTATATCTGAGAAGATTCAGTCTCCTTCAGATGGGCTATGAGTTCCAGAATGTAGGCAGATGGGTGCCCCCCTTCTTCACAGGGCCGCCTACACTTGAAGCTGGAATGTGCATTACCAACCATCAGTCCAACTACACAGAGATGCTTGAGTATTCTCCACATATCGCCACCAGGTGGTCTTCTAGCCTTGACTTGGCCTGCAGGGGTTTAGAATAGAGGTGTGCAGCATGCCTTGTTCCAGACCATCTTCTTCTCATCCGTGACAGCTGCTCTGGTCCCTCACCTGGAACACATTATCCTGTTTGCTGTTTCTTACATCATCCGATTCACTTGATCGCCTAGCTCTACCCCATCTGTCAACTAACTTGCTCTTCCTGATATCCTAACAGGAGTCTTTCCCACTTCCCCAACTCTTGTTCAAATATCCCTTTCCATGCCGAATTTGCCCTCTGCCCCAGACAAACAATGTGGTCTCAGCAGCTCAGTTGCCCCACAGAGTTTAGAAGATCATCGTGATTTACTTGGTTAGGACATACCTTAGAGAACACACTCAGACTCAGACACAAGTCCACACTATCCCTGTAATAGACTTTGAGACAATGATTTGGATGCAGATCATTTCTTTGGAGGTAGAGGAAACATCAGTAAAGAGTGTGGAAACAGTAGAAGAAGTCAACAAAGGGATATCATCAAGTGAGTTGCCTCTGTGGGGAACTGGAGCTTAATCATGCTGGGAACCCTGGGAGACACACACCAACCCCAAGGGACATGGGAGCTGAGGCATTTATACACCAACTCCTGTTAATTATTGATTAAAGACTGCTCCCAGGAAACACTAATTCCCTGACACTTTTGGTCTGTTACTTGGGTAAAGTAGAAAGCACTGCGGCAAAGAAACTCTGGGAAAATGGCTAGAAGTCAACTGAGTTGCCTGGAAGTGCCTAGGGCAAGGAGATGTGGGCTAGGCACCAACAGCATCTGCTGCCACTTCCTACAGAGAAAGGCCTTTGAATGCAGTGACCTGCCTACTTTCTAGTCATTTTCCCAAATGAGTCACTGCTTGGAAATAGCCTTTGAAATGGAATTCTCTATACACTTCCAAATGATCCAAATGCCAGAATCACCTTCTGATTTTATCAAGTTTGGGAAAGAGAACATTTTTAATTATTTTATTTGACCTTGTGCACAGGTCCTGCCAGGTAGAGGAATTTGTGGTGGAAGATTAATGACAAGACACATCACCTTAATACTTTTTCAAAAATAGAGCACAGTTATTTTTCCTGTAGATAGGTGAAAATCCTCTTGCCTTGTAGTTCTACATATCATGTTAGAATGATCCTTAAATGTCAGCAGCTTAGCTGGAGCCGTAATAACGATCACCATGGTGAGAAGACAAGTTGGGTTATTGAATCTTGGTTTGTTTTTAATCATTTGGTCCAAATACACTTTAGGCAACTATAGCCTGCAGTCTGTGACTAGTTCTATATGGGACCTAGTTGGAGTTACATTTTTATGAAATATTTTATTGGATTATTTTTTATGCCTTATTCTCTCCTCCTGCCAACATTTATCTTGTTCTAGAAAATCTTCCTGTCACCTCAACTCCACGGGGAGCTTAGAATTCACCATCCATTTCAGATTGATTGTGTAAAGGTTTGAAATGGTTCCCGCTGTTTAACACATAATGAATGTAATGGCATTTGTTTGCACACTCTAAACCCCAGTGCCTCCTTACTGTATTAAAGGTGTAATTCTCCTTTCTTCCTTTAAAAAATTTTAATTGGTCTCTAGGTCTCTCATGACTTTGCAATCAACTTTAATGAAGACAACCCGGAATGTGCAGGTAAATCACAACTTAAGAGACCTTTCGTTTGTATGTTTTCCATGCTACTTCCTCTCCTTGATACAGCATATCAGTTATGATTGCCCACAGCTAAGAAACTGGCTGGATTCAAATAAACCATGCTACTCTGAAGGCAGCAGGAAGCAATGTTATAACAGAGCAGAAAACTGAGACCTGTAAAAGACAGAGGAGCTCTTGAGCTTATAGCAAGAATATTGATCCCCATCTGGATGTCTCTGGTCAAAAGAACATGGAGTGAAGTTCACCTAATGAACAGTGACCAGATACCCCTCTTTTGCTTTCCAAGTTTTCAAGTATTTCTTTTTTTCACAATTTCTTCTCTAGAGGAGTTTTGGTGATGCTGTATGATAATCACTGATTGCTAACCTCAAGGTTGGCAGTTCAAACCCATCAGCCACTCCTCAGGAGAAAGATAAGGTTTAGGTTTTCTGCTCCCGTAGATATTTACAGCCTGGGAAACCCGAGACACGGTGACTGCGAGTCAGATTTGACTCGATGGTAGTGGGTTTTCATTTGGTGTTTTTTTTCCCCTTTCTATGTAGGGGTAAGAAAATGAGGAAACAGGTTTGCAAAAGGACATAGCCTCAGTGACCTTGAACAAATAGTTTCTTGACTTTATTCCAGAAAGAGCCTTTTTGAAAATTCTGTTATAAATTCATCACTTCCAGGCAGAAATTCCCTAACACAGTTCTACAAAATAATGATGTTGATACTGTGATGATGATTATGATGATAAATTTTATCCTATAATTAATTTTCCTGATTTCTACATAATAAATAGATCTAAGTACATTTGTTGCCAGAAGAACGTAAGACATTTTTACAATGGGGTGGAAAGAAATTTCACTATTGTTCTCCTCCTCCTAATCAAGGAGGAAGGAGGCTGAGCCAGGGTTGATTCCTTCCCAGTGGGGTGTGTAGAGTATCTAAGAGTTTATTTTACAGGTTTGGCACTTAATGTTGAAGAATGTGATATCAATAGCACTGAGTCTTTCCATACCAATCTCCAAGACACAGTTCCTAGCTGTGATTATTTCTTCCCACAAACCCTCACCTCCCAATTTATTATGGCTTATGTTTCCCTTCTCTCAATCCACCTTCATTCTTAAACTTAGGAGTGATTTTCTATCAAAGTAATAACATACATACGAAATAAAATTCATCTTTTTCATGCTCTTAGAATTCATCAGCCTGATACTTTTGAAAGAGGAATCAAACTTACTTATCTTAGGCAAGCCCTCATGAACCTCAAATGATAAGATGACTTCGCTCAATATCATTTAGGTCCAGAACCAGGCTCCATACTTATTTAACATGCCTTTAGAATGACAGACTCTGGAGACAAGGAAAAGTGGGTGCAGTATTTTGGTCATTTCAACAAGACCAAAGAGGAGCATGGGATAAGGACAGAACAGAGTCAAATTTTCTAATCCTAAATATCCAACTGTAGTCTATTGTACATGGTGGATTATACGTGGTGGATATGGGAACAATCTCAAGATTGGCTTGTGGCCAAAAACAGGACTACTGTGCTGTACCGGAATAGAAAGAGATAAAGAGGAGTTGAAACAGAGAGGAAAAGGTAGCACAGATACAAACAAGAGCTGTTTAAATGAAAATAATTGCTAATATAATTAATACTGTAGGATCATGATTTTAATGTTAAATGTACAGCCAAGATATGTCAAATGCTGGAAGAAGCTACACAAGTAAGGGCCTACCTGCCTGTCCTAGCAGCATCCCATTTACTCTTTACCCTGCATTAGATGATGTGTTGGCCACAATTATGAATACATTAGTACTGCCATCCCAGTTGATGAGTATGTCCACCACTCTGCTCACTCATCATATACATGGTGAGCATCTGCCATGTGCAGACACTGCGTCAAACTCTTTGGGGAACAACAAAATTAAGTAAGTCATCATTCCTGTCCTTCAAGGAGTTTACCATCTGGGGAGATGTTCATGCATGTATATAACTCTTATATTTGTTGCAGGGTAATGTGTTCTAGAGTAGATTCAATAAAGTCATGAGAAAACTAGAGGAGTTTTAAAACAGACTTGCCAAGTGGCTGACAACACAGCTCTTATAAGCAGACCTGGGTTTGAATCCTGAACCAATCGCTCAGTAGCTAAAGAAAACAAAAGTTCATTAAGAAGACAAGAAAGAAGGAAAAGACCAAAAAGGATGTCCGAAGAAACTTTTAAATTTGCTCTCAGTATTAAGATGCTAAATCAAATGGAAGAAATTAGAAAGTAAAAGAGCTAAACAGAAAATTTCCAAGGGCAACTTGAGAAGACAAAGTCAAGTATTATAATGAAATGTGCAAATACCTAGAGTTAGAAACTCAAAAGGGAAGAGCATGGCTCAACATTTCTCAAGCTGAAAGAGCTGAAGAAAAAATTAAAGCCTTGACTTGCAGTATTTAAGGATTCTATGAGTAAAATATTGAATAATGCAGATAGCATGCGTCAAAAGAAGATAGAGAATCTGCACTGAATAGTTTCATCTTGTCTAGACGGGTTTGGTGAAAGGAGACGAGGATAAGATTCTTATGATTCAATAGTGAGTAATTGTTATCATGACTAATTGCAGCTGTCACAACTGTTACAGTAAAAGTTTTATAACAAAATGAGGGGAGTAGTTAATCTTACAATCCAGGAACAGAGAACCATAGGACCATCAAGGGAGAAGAGCATGAGCAGAATGTAGGACCCTATCCAGAGAAGCAGCAACACCAGAGATGGAGACAGAGATGAGGGCATGGAGAGAGAGAGCAGCTGAGGACTCTAGACTCATGGAAAGAGAAAGGCTGTGTGCTGGCAGCCAGGTACTGGTGGCCAAGAGGTAGGCTCACAGACTGTGCCCTTTGGTTGTTTAAATGATTATATATTCCGAGTGTTTTTGTGTACACTCCCCAGTAAAAAAAAAAAAAACAGAGGGAATAGAAGCAAATACTATTGAATGACGGTGCACAGAGGAGCCTGTAATCGTTGCAATGAAACGATGAATGTAAAACTGATGTTCCCCCATGTAAACTAGCCCTCAATTCACAATGAAAACTTTAAAAAGAAGATGAAGAAAAAGATGGAAGGAATATAGAATCGCTGTACTAAAAAGAAATGGTTAATGTTCAACCATTTCTAGTGATAGCATAAAATCAATGGTACTGAAGGAAGAAGTCCAAGCTGCAATTAATGTATTGTTAAAGAACAAGGTTCTGGGAATGGATGAAATACAAACTGAAATCTTTCAACAAACAGGCAGCACTGGAGGCACTTACTCATCTATGAGAAGACTTTTGCAAGACAGCTTACCTGACCAACTGATTGGAAGAGATCCATATTTGTTCCTGTTCCACAGAGAGGTGACACAATGGAATATGGAAATTATCGAACAATATCATTAATATCACATGCAAGTGAAATTTTGCTAAAGATAATTAAACAACAGTTGCAACAATACATAGACAGTGAACTGCCAGATATTCAAGCTGGATCCGGATGAAAATTTGGAACAAGGGATATAATTGCTGATATTAGATGGATCTTGGCTGAAAGCAGAGAATATCTGAAAGATATTTACCTGTGCTTTATTTACTCTGCAAAGGCTCTAGATTGTGTGGGTCATGACAAGCTGTGGACAACATTGCAGAGAATGAGTATTCTAGAACACTTCATTGTTCTCATGAGGAACCTGTACATAGACCAAGAGGCAGTCTGAATGATTTAAAATTAAGAAAGGTGTGCACCAGTGTTGTATTATTTTACCATACAGCCTGTACACTGAGCAAATAATCTGAGAAGCTGGATTATATGAAGAAGGACATGGTACCATGATTGGAGGAAGATTCATTCATTAATAGTAACCTGCAATATGCAGATGATACAACCTTGTTTTTTGAGGGAAGAGGACTTAAAATACTTACTGATGAAGATCAAAGAGCACAGCCTTCAGTATGGGTTACCTCTCAATGTAAAGAAAACAAAAATACTCATCATTGGACCAGTAAGTAACATCATGATAAATGGAGAAATGATTGAAGTTGTCAAATACTTTATTTTGCTTGGATCCATTATCAACATTCATAGAAGCAGCAGTCAAGAAACCAAATGACTTATCAAATTAGGTAAATCTGATGCACAAGACCTCTTTAAAGTGTTCGAGAGCAAAGATATTAGTTTGAGGATTAAGGTGCGCCTGACCGAAGCCATGATATTTTCAATAGCTTCATATGCATGTGAAAGTTGGACAGTGAATAAGGAAGACCGTAGAAGAATTGATGTGTTTGAGTTATGGTGTTGGAGGAGAACAAGCAAAATGGTGTTGGAAGAAGTACAGCTAGAATGCTCTTTAGAAGCCAGGATGGCCAGACTTAATCTCAATGTTCTCACGTATTATCAGGAGATTCCAATCCCTGGAGAAGGATGTCATGCTTTGTAAAGTGGAAGATCAGTGAAAAAGAGGAAGACTCCCAACAAGATGGAGTGGCACAGTGGCAGCAGCAATGGGCTGAAGCTTAACAACTATTTTGAGGATGGCGCAGGACCGGGCAGTGTTTCATTCCGTTGTGCGTAAAATTGCTGATTCAGAACCGACTCGATGGCACCTACCAGCAACAAACATGTTTACAGGTATTTCTTTACCTGTAAACATGAATTTTATTTTACTGTGAGAATCTGATGGAGCCCTAGTAGTGTAGTGGTTACAAGTCGGACTGCTTACCTTGAGGTCAGCAGTTCAAAACTTTCTCACAGGTGAAAGATGAGACTTCCTGCTCCCGTAAAGATTTACAGCCTCAGACCCTATGCAGGGTCACTATGAGTCAGGACCGACTCCACGGCACACCACCACCATCACCACCACGAAAATCTGAGGCATCCTTGTGACACAGTGGCTGCTGTTTGAAAAAGATTGGTGACAATTTCAACCTTCTCTGCAGGAGAAAGATGAGCCAGTCTGCTTCTATAAAGATTGTTGTCTTGGAATTCTATGGGACAATTCAATTATGTCCCATAGGGTTGATATGAGTCAGAAATGACTCAATGACACTGGGCAATAGGATGAGGATCTAATGAAGTCTTGTGAAGTCTAACTGTGAATTTGAACAATTTCCTTAACCTTTCTCTATCCTTAGTCTCCTCATCTGAAAAATGGAGATAATCATACCCTTATCTGATGAGCTATTGTAGAGTTTAAAGATGACACGTATCAAATAACACACAGTTGATATGTTTGTCATTTGATATGTGGAATATCAGAGAAAAGTTTGTGGAAACAATCGCATGTGACTTGAGACTTAAAAGAGGAGAATGATTTCAGAGGGAGAGGAGCCCTCAACACTAGCAATGTGGTCTTTTCTATTTCCTTCAAGAACATAAACATGATGTTGATCAGGGCTTTCTAAAGAAACTTAATGCTTAATTTTTGTATGTTTGATTACAAATTATTTGGGGAGACTGTTAATCTTTCCTAACTTAATTTTAGGAATTCAAGGAGTTGTGGAAGCCTATCAGAGCTGCCTTCCCAAGTTACAACTCTATGGGCCCACCAACATTGCCCCCATCATTCAGAAGGTCGCCAAGTCAGCGTCAGAGGAGACTAACACCAAGGAGGCTTCGGTAAGGATGGACCAGCACTTGCTAATGGGTGCTTACATCCCCACCTGGATATTGTCCCTCCTTAGCACCTATTCCAATCTAACAGTCAATTCCAGCCTTTCTAATTGTGTGAATTTGACAAAGTGCCTTAACCTTCCCTTATCCTTAGTCTCCTCATCTGAAAAATGGGGATAATCATACCCATCTCTGATTGAGTTATTGTGAAGTTTAAGGACGACACATAACACATGTCTCCCACATTGCCTGAACACAGCAGACACTCAGCAATGGAAGCTACTATTGTATTTACTGGAGTATAAGTCATAATGCTCTTCTACCCCTGTTGAGTATAAATGATACCTTCAGAACTTGTGGTAGTGGTGGTTATGTGCCATGGAGTCAGTTCTGATTCATATCGACCCTGTACAGGGTTTCCGAGGCTGTAAATCTTTACAGGAGGAGAAAGCCTCATCTTTCTCCTGTGGAACAGCTGGTAGTTTCGAACTGCTGACCTTGCAGTTCACAGCCTGATTCGTAACCACTGCGCTACCAGAGTTCAGATACTTGTAGCCACAGTAATATCACAAAAACTATCTGTGATTTGTACTGGTGACTAAAACTGTTTAAAACTAAGCCTGCTTTCCAGTGTACCCATACTACAGAGGGAAGGGAAGTGTCACAGAAGTAAAACAGTGGATGATTTTGCTCGCTGGTGGTAAATTGCCACAAATCAGAACATCACAGCACCACCAGGATACAGTTCACATTCTGGGGTGACTTTCTTAGGAAAAATATGAACAGAATTTGGGTTATTTGCTAAGTATTTAAAATTAAGTGTATTACTATAATAACTTCTATGTACCTTTTTTTTTTTTAATGTTAGCATTTCTCTTTAAACTTTTTGAGTTTGCTTAGTCTATCTTAGCTTGGAAATTTATGAGTGGGCTTAGTCTGTATTAGTCTGGAACCTGTCTGCTGAAACCTGTCCACCATGGGTGACCCTGCTGGTATTTAAAAAATAATGTCCAGCATCACATCAGCACACAAGCCACCACAGTACAGCAAACTGACAGACAAGTGGTGGTATGCACATCTTATAAGACAGAACATACAGATTTCTGTTGTCGTTTATTTGAAGTCTCTCCTACTTGAAAATATCAGGGTGTCTAGAGATAATGAACCCTGGTTCATTATCATCAAATGTCTGGTACTGTCTCTTTCTTACAGATCAGTAACACCTTCTGTCCCTTTAGGCTTCATGGCTAATACAGAGAGGGAGCCTAGAACACTGCATTTAGTGACACATAACTCTTTATATAAGTGGGTGGTAATAGTATAAAGCAAAATTTTATTGTAGTCTAATAATCTAAAAACTTTCTTTTAGTTACATGGTGGTGGTGTGCCATGGAGTCGGTTCCAACTCATAGCAATTCTGCATAGAATTTCTGAGGCTGTAAATCTTTATGGGAACAGAAAGCCTCATCTTTCCCCCACAGAACAGCTGGTAGTTTCAAACTACTGATCTTGAAGTTAGCAGCCCAATTCATAACAACTATGCTACCAGAACACATTTTCTGTTACATAGTTACATAGTTGGCTAATTTCAACCTCCTACCCAACACCCAAAAGGCAACTAGTACTACCTGTGAGAAACAATCGGGTCTGATCTGTGCAGCATCTTCTTCTACCTCCTCTACTCATTCAATCGCCTTTGTGAAATTACTAACAGGTCAGCAGGAGGTTTACCCAAGAAGAGGCTCAGAGACTTCACAGTTTATCGTGGACCCCTAGGGAGCAGAGGGTGTGATTCCTTGGATAACATGCTTAGGGAGGTGAACAGCTGTTGATGTTTTTAGCCTTTCAGCTGAACAGAGCCACTCTGAATTGAGAGCCTATCCAGCAGAAATACTGGAGCTGGATGGAGCCAGTATAACCGCCCCCCAACCCCCTCCTGTTATGAAACTGAGAAATCCATGCCTCCTCTCTAGCTATCTTCACTCGTCTCTTAACAAGCCACCAACATTTCTCAGCACTACAGATCAACATGTATCCACCGATCCACAGGCCCCATAAGGTTTTCCCAAATATGTCCCTCTCTGTCACAGAGACCTTGAAACAAATTAGAATCCTCACAAATGCAGGATTTAGGGATAAGGGCTGGACAGGATCAATATTTCATTTTATTTTTCAACTTTTTTTTTTTTTTTTTTAGCACAGGAATCTATCCTTAAGTGATACCTTGCTCAGAAACCCAATATATAAAATAGATTTTGTGAGAGAGGGAGAGTTGAGAACATTCCAGGGACCTCCGGATTTCTGTGGAGACCCGTTTGAGAACTTTGTGATTTCACCCCTGAGGTACCGGGACCCATATGAGTGAAAAAAGATCAGAACTGGCATAGGTCTGAATTCAGGATCTGTATAAACAAGTCCCTTTTTATACTGTGATGACTCATTGCTCTCAAAGGAAGGGCAAGAAGGAAATGACACCATTTGTAGGAAGCACCCACTCTCACATATCCCCCGATGAATTACTCCTATAGGCAGAAAACTTAACACTTTTCCCCGCATGTTTTGTCTGTGTTTTGAACAGTCTGTGGTCCCTTGTATCACTCATTGCTAAAGGTCCTAAACTTTTTAAACCTTTTAGGTAAACTGGTACCAGGAAGTGTGGGGTTGTAGGATTTTCTCCTTCATTTTTTTAAAACTCTTGTAAGAAAAAAAAAAAGGCTTCTCCTTATCTAAACAGGACCTCAAGTATTTTCACAGATTGTAATATTTCATCTGAGAGCATTTTCCCAGTCTGACTTTGGAAGGAACTCTACCTCTAGCTTTATTGGAAATTTCCATCAAGGTTTTCGATCCAACAGTCTGCAGCCTATTACATTTAGCTAGATTAAACTTGAAGAATCAGATTCTAGAATTCTGACAATCTCTCCAGACCAGAGATTCTTAACCTATTTTGTTCCATGGACCCTTTAGCAGCTGGTAAAGTCCATAAACGTTTTTTCAAAATAGTGTTTTTAAATGCACAAAATAAAATGTGTAAAATTATAAAGTAAACCAATTATATTGAAATGCAGTTAGCAAAAAATTTTAAGTGTGACAAAAGAGCACAAATCTACTAATGAAATGCTTCTTTATGAACATTAACTTATGAGAAGCGTTGACTAGTCTAATAACTGTAATTTGGATGTAGTATTGAGTGTAAATGATAACATCATATACTTACAGCCACAGTAATGTAACAAAAACTATCTGTGATTTCTATTGGTGACTAAAGCAAAGGTAAAGCTAAGACTAATTTGTTGATTATATTTATAATTGAAAAAATGATATGTTTCAGTTAGAAGCTAGTGAAAGTAAAAATATAATTCACCCAAAGTTTACATATTGCCTGGAATCTTTCTACATTCCATTTGTTGTTGTTGTTGTTAGGTGCCATCAAGTCGGTACTGACTCATAGCAACCCTGTGCACAACAGAACGAAACACTGCCCAATCCTGGGCCAATCTCACTAATGTTGCCACACTTGAGTCCATTGATGCTGCCACTTTGCCAATCCATCTCGCTGGGGGTCTTCCTCTCTTTATCTGACCTTACCAAACATGATATCCTTCTCCTGCGACTGGTCCCTCCTGACAATATGTCCGAAGTATGAGAGATGAAGTTTGGCCATCCTGTACTCCAAGGAGCTTTATGGCTGCACTTCTTCCAACACAGACCTGTTGGTTCTTTTGGCAGTCCATGGCACTTTCAATATTCTCCTCCAACACCATAACTCAAAAGCATCAGTTCTTCTCTTCTATAGTCTTCCTTATTCACTGTCCAGCTTTCGCATCCTTATGAGGTTATTGAAAATACCATGGCTTGGGTCAGGCATCAAGCTTAGTCCTCAAGCTGACATCTTTCCTCTTCAACACTTTAAAAAGGTCTTGTGCAGCAGATTTGCCTAATTCAATAGGTCCTTTGATTTCTTGACTGCTGCTTCCTTGAGTGTTGATGGTTGATCCAAGAAGAATGAAGTCCTTGACAACTTCAATCTTTTCTCTGTTGATAAGAATGTTGTTTATTGGTCCAGTGGTGAGGATTTTTGTTTTCTTGACATTGAAATGTAATCCATACCAAAGGCCGTGCTCTTTGATCTTCATCAGTAAATGTTTTAAGTCCTCTTCACTTTCAGCCAGCAAGGTTGTATCATCTGCATTTCGCAAGTTGTTAATGAGTATTCCTCCAATCCTGATGCCACGTTTTTCTTCATATAACCCAGCTTCTTGGTTTATTTGATCAGCATACAGGTTGAATAAGTATGATGAAAGAATACAACCTTGGATTGCTATTAGGTGGAATCAATTCCAGTGCAATGGGTTAAGACAGGGAAAATACATGCATTGACCTATGAAGAGTAGGTCCACAGAGTTCAGGGAAGTTGGAAAATGGAACCAGGAGACCAAGAAGTGTGATCTAGTCAATCGTCCACTTACTTATGGATCAGAAGCAATCTCCTCCCAGGGTGACATCTGCCCTGACCTTCTAAGGCGCCTGGTAATGGTGGCTCTTGATTATGGTGCACTCTACATCCCCTGACTACTAAGGTGGCTTCCTCTCTGTATCTCCCTCCTTCCTCCATTACTTCAGCCTCCCGAAACTCTCTTCTAAAGTTTCCACACCACCTTCCTGTGAACATGTTAGATGAAAAACATAGCCATCGATGAAAATGTATAACTCAAAAGAATTTGCCACTTGGGTGGTCAGTTGACTAGGAGTGGGAGGGAGGTTAGATGATGAACATTGAACAGAATTAGTCTTTCTATGAAACTATACGGGCAGCATTCAAAGCCATATTCATCACAGTAAGAATTGCAGGTGTCTCCAGTTATATTTTTGACTGAGTCACTTTGCTTAAGGACATTTTTTTTTTCTAGACCTGCTGCCAGCCAATTTGCAACCTTTTAAGGAGATGATATTCTAAACCAGATGTTTTCTATCCAGCTTTAATTTATTGAAATATGACAACTTGAAATGGTTTGCTTTTCCTACATTTAGTGCTTGTCAATTTTGAGCATATTGCAGAGATGATACTGGAAGTCCTTTTGAGTCCCTGGAACTTTGGACATGAGCTACATCACAGAAAGCCACGTCCGTCCCCCTCTCACCTCTAGAGGTTTTCATGGTGCCTCTGACAGTGAGGGACAACAGTGACCTGCCTTTGCACCCTTCTCCAGATCCCAAAGCACTTCCAGGGCTTCCTTGTGGTGATGAATCAGAGCTTTCCTTCTAATTCCCAGCTCACCTGAGCCACCTGCCAATTTCTCCAGGTTGAAGGGGACCAGGCAGGAAACCAGGTTGAAGGGGACCAGGCAGGAAACCAGGACTGAGAATGGGAAATCACTGGAGTACATCAGTCTTCTGCATGTATGTGAGGGGTGGGACAGCCACCTCCAAGCACAAGGTCTTGGCATGTGTGACTCACAGAGAGAAACAGCAACCTTGACCCTCTCTCTGACTGGGTTTTGGACTCATGCTGTCTAATTGAAATGTATTTGATTTTAAAGTCTTCAATTTTGTTATTCACTCAGGGCAACCCCGTGCACAGCAGAACAAATTGCCCTGCACTGTTATCAGTTGCAGATCAGACCATTGTGATCTAGAGGGTTTTCATTGGCTGATATTTTTGTTGTTGTTTGCTATTTTTTTGTCTTCTTTATTAGTTTAACTGCCTTTCCCATCACCCAAGTTTACATGTGTCTACCCTCTAGCCAGTGAATGATTCTTCCCTTCCGCCCCTGGTAAACATCATAGAATATCTCTTTTGAGCATGAAAGCCTTCTCTTGACTTTTTACAACAGTGGTCTCATACAATAGTTGTCCTTTTGTGATTGATTAATTTCACTTAGCATAATTTCACTCAGCATAATATCCTCCTGGAGTCCTGTTGTGGTGCTGTAGGATAAAGCACAAGGTCTGTTTGAACTGCAAGGTCTGCAGTTCAGACCCACCAACTGCTACTCAGAAATCCTTTACAGGATCACTGTGAGTCGACAGCACTTTACAGCAACAACAGTGTCTTCCAGGTGCATCCATATTATGAGGTGTTCTGCAGATTCATTGTTATTCTTCAACATTACATAATATTCCATTGTGTATATATACAAAGTTTGTTTAACCATCATTGGCTGATGTTTTGTAAATAGATTATTAGATCTCTCTTCCTACTGCCTTTTAGTCTGGGAGATCCTCTGAAACGTATTTAGCATCATAGCAACATGTAAGTCTCCACCTACAGATGAATGGTGATTGTGCTTGTAGTCCATTGGCTAGATCACTCAATGTAGCCAACATATTCAGATTTTGGCATGGGTTCCATATAAAAAATATTAATGAAATATTTTATATCCTTGTCTTTGAACAAAGTCTAGAAAATCTGGTGTGGATTTGTACCTGTTGTTGTTTTTATGCCATTGAGTCTGTTCTGACCCATAACAACCCTGTAAGGGTTTCCAAGGAGCGGCTGGTAAACTTGAACCACCAAACTTTCAGTTCAAACCAGCTATGCAGTTCAGCAAGGATGCTAAATTATCACTGGAGATACTTGGTCCTTATTTAGATTTTATAAATTTGTCATTGAAAATATAGATACGTGAACTTAAGTTGTTCCAGAGATACTTAAAAGGTTTCCAATAAGTGAATGGTGGATACATTTTCAAAGTAAAATTTAAGCACATTAAAATTAAATAATATTGAAAATTCAATTGCTCTGTTCCACTGGCCACATTTCAATGGCTCATTAGTCATGTGGAGTTAGTAGCTATTATATGGGTCAGCATAGCTTTAGACTTAAAAATCTTAGAGCTGAAGAGGACTAGGCAAATAATTTTTACCTCACCCCTCATTTGAGAAATGAAGATGCTGAGATCCTGAGAAGTGGACTAGTTTTCCCATGATTTCTCAGAGTGAGGCATTGGCTCCAGTCCTCTTGAGTCTTCCTCTGTTGTCCTTTCTACCACACCATGCTTTGTAACTATTATTGTAACTAAGCTACATTTGCTGGGTCTGCCTTTAAACACCATTCACCGTAACCTTTAGTCTTTAAGGTTGTTGGCACAGGTGTCATCCAGGATACTGTGGTGGTCAATGTGCAGGGAAGCCACCCAGATGCCTAACTAGTGTTGTCTCTGTCTCCTCATGTCTCCTGGCATCTGGCCATAGCAATACTTCATCCTGCTGATCCTGACCGACGGTGTCATCACAGACATGGCCGACACCCGGGAGGCCATCGTCCATGCCTCCCACCTCCCCATGTCTGTCATCATCGTGGGAGTCGGGAATGCTGACTTCAGTGACATGCAGATGCTGGATGGTGACGACGGGATCCTGAGGTCTCCCAAGGGAGAGCCTGTCCTTCGAGACATTGTCCAGTTCGTGCCCTTCAGGAACTTCAAACACGTACGCATGTCTCGGGGGTTTCCTGAGGGAGAAAAGAGCCAGAGCATATTAGTTTGCCACATTTTTTCTGCCAGTGTTTGTAGTAATAATCTGCCATCTTGAAGCAATATCAGTTATCCCTGCCAGGTCAGGCTGTCTCCCACAACAAGGATATGTAGAGCGGATTCTTTGGAGAAAGAAGTATAAACTGAGTTATAGATTATAGATAAGGAGTCATGTTGACTATCACAGCCAAAACTCCACGGACACTTGTCCTCTTCCAGCAGCCCTTGTGGTGCAGTGGTTAAAGCACTCTCCTGATAACCAAAAAGTCAGCTGTTCAAACCCACCAGGGACTCTGTAGGAGAAAGATATGAAAGTCTTATATACAGATAATTTATAGCTTTGGAACCCCTAAAGGGTAGTTCTACATTGTCCTATGTTGTTGTTAAGTGTCATAGAGTTGGTTCCAACCCATAGCAATCCTCCATAGGGTTTCCAAGGAGCAGATGGTGAGCTTGAACTGCCAACCTTGCAGTTCAAAATGACTTTGCAGTCCAGTGCATTAACCCACTGCACCACACCAGGGCTTTGTCCTATAGAGTGGCTATACTTGAAATCAAGTTGATGGCAGTGAGTTTGGTTTGGTTTTGCTGTCTTCCATATAATTCAAAATCTCTAGAGACCCCAGGACTGCTATACACAATTGGGTTGTTCCTTGTCTAAGGGAACCTGGTGGAAGAAGCAAGGAGAAGCTAAAATGAAGCCTGGGTTCTGCTGATCAAATCATGTTTGTATTTACCTTGGTGGTGGGTGTTCCGTGGAGCCAGTTCCGACTCATAGCGACCTCGCATAGGGTTTCCAAGGCTGTGAATCTTTACAGGAGCAGAAAGCCTCATCTTTCTCTTGTGGAACAGCTGGTAATTTCGAACTGCTGACTTTGAGGTTAGCAGCCTGACTCATAACCACTATGCTTCCAGAGATCCTTAGCAAAGCTTATTTTCAAAATGTTTAAAAGCTATAGTCACTATATATAGTTAACTTGTTAAGTGCTGCCAAATTGATTCTGATTCATAGCAACTCTGTATAGGATTTCCAAGGACCACCTGGTATGCTTGAACTACCAAACCTGCAGTTCAAACAGCCTTGCAATCCAGTGCATTAACCCACAGTGCCAGACCAGGACTTGCTATAAATACTCATATATCACAGTAGCGTCAAAGATACTTTTAATTGATTAGTGAGGGAGCCAACCAGAAGACAAAGCTGGTACAAAGATGAGTGTAAGTCAGAGAATATAGTCAGTGAGAAGGAAATGGTAGAATAAATTTGCTAAAGTAGACTCAAAAACAAATTAAATGACATACAAGGTTTAAAAACCATAATCTTTGGATTACCTTCTGTACTGAACAGAGCTCATTTGTATCTTATCTATTTTCTCTGAGTTAACATCTAACTTTATAGACTTGGTGTGTAATCAGTGATCAATTGTAAGCTCAGCAGTGTAATACTATCCTGGTGTCCCTAAAGCAGACCCATTTAGACAATGTTCTGTGTGACATTGGGAAGAAAGGTGCTCAGCAAATGCTTTTCCACATTTCCAAATTCTGGATAATTATTCACTCCATGAAGAATGGGATACCTATAATATTTCCCAAAAAAATCATGTACATATGGGGTACCTTTTCTAATTTTTACAAAGGCTCCATATGAGCTAGTCGTGGCCCTGAAGTCACACCCCTGTCTGTCTCAGAGTCTTCAGGAGTAGCATGGGCAGTCACATTAAGGCCTCTGTGTTGTCTATTCCATTCCTATCTTAGTTTGCTGGTGCTTCCATGACAAAAAAAATACCACAAGGGTGTGGTTTGAAGAATGAAAATTTATTTCCTCACAGTTCTAGAGCTCAGGGCTCTAGGGAAAGGTCTTATTTATCTCTTTCAGCTTCTAGTAGCTGCTGGGTCTTCCTTGGTTTGCAGACTGGCCTGTACATGACATCTGTTTTCCCTCTGTGTGGTGTGTCTCTCCATATCTTTTCTGCTCACCTTATATGACACCACTCAGGAGTGATTAGGTTTAGGACCCATCTTACTCCAGCATGGCTTATTAACATAACAAAGGAACAGTCCTATTTTCAAACAGGACCACATTCACAGGCACAAGGGTCAAGATCTCAACACATATCGTGGGGGACATAATTCAATCCATAGCAGTACCCCTTATGGAAGTCACCCAAGAATAGAGCATCAGGCAGCCCCCACTAGTCAACTGAGACCGCTACCAGTGGCTGTTAACAACGCACCAGCTGGGATCCTCCCGAGTCCGTTCAGTGCCTTGAAGCTGTTCTGCAGTTCCCTTGGGAATGGAGAGAAGCTCCTCCCCTCCATGTTACAAAGAACCTCTTCCATGACTTGGGCCAGTGTCGCAATGACATCTGTGTCCCCACATCTCAAAGCATTTCTGCTGGGAACATCTTGTTTTGTATGTTTATTTTGCCTCCACTGTACCCCTTCCCTCCACTGGGCTCAGGTCAGGAAGAAGAGACATACACCAGATCATCCACCCCCACAAGTCCTTTCCTTCTGATGCTTCTTGGAAAAGCCTTTCTCCTCCAACCCCAAACCCTCATTCAATCTGTTTTGGACACTCTGTGCAGCTAGTTTATCAGATTCATCCAGACCCATCTGAATTCCAGTTTGGACTCAAGCTGGGACTCCAGCTACACTGGGAAAGGTCAATATAGAAAGTCAAAGGATGACTGGATCATTATTTATTACCGGCAAGCCGCAGTTCTAGTGGCAGAGGCATAGGCATAAGTTGTAATTGTATATTCTGCCACTTTCTTGGGAGAGACTTTAAAGTGAGTACACAGATAAATCTCCAGCTCCTCAGCCTCAGCTGAACCCTAGATTTCATGAACTGCCAGGACCTCATTAGAAAATAAATGCACACTCCAGGGCTCCTTGAATGATGAGGTATTATTCATAACTGTACTGCCACACAATTATGATTCTCCTTTTAAGGAGGGATGCTGTGTAATAAGAATGATTAAAGGAGCAGAAAATGGATCCCTAGCTACAGAGTTGAGTATAAAGGGAGTTTCCAAAGAACAGTAGCAGCAACCAAGCTTTTCTACAAGCTCCTGGGGGCTATGAGTGTGGGCAGCAAGCCCATCTTCAACTTTCCCAAGGGGGAGGTTTCTAACTGAGAGCAAATGAAGTAACACGCCACAGTCTCAAGTTGTTTGCTTATGGACAGCAAACAGTGGACTCACAAAGAAAGAGTAAAGTAAAAGGCAGGACTAGGTTAACCTGTGTCTTGGAGCTGATGTTGAGGCTGAGAGAATGTGCTGTTGTTGTTGTTCTTGTTAAATGCGTTGAGTCAGTTCCAACTCATACCAACTCCATATAGGGTTTCCAAGGAGCAGCTGGTGGGTTTGAACTGTAGACCTTTTGCTTAGCAGTTCAGTGCTTACCCTACAGCACAACACCAGGAGTCTGGTGCCATTATGTTTCCAAATGAAGCTAGACACTTGCATGGTATCTAAGGTAAGGAGGAGATGACTGTATAAATAATGATGTCCTCCTCCTTTTCTCAGTCAGAAAGAAGTGGGAACCATCACTCACCACCCTCCATAACTCTGCCTGGGTGAAGAGGGGTCAAGAAAGCTCACTCCCTAGGATAGTAACTTTCCCACACCATCCTTTCCAACACCAACACACACACACACGTCTGTGGGCACTGAAGCAATATCACTAATCCTAGCAAAGCATCAATATCTACTCCAGACCTCTTCCTCATCCTCAGACGTTCATGAAGTGATGCCTGTCACGCAAGGCACATGCTAGTCATTGGGACCACAGCAAGATTATAAAGTTTTATAATCCTTATGAAGGATAATCCTTGGTCCAGCCTCAAGGAGATTATAAGAGGATTGCATGGTTGGGACATAGGTGTACATATCAGAAAAGTCATGCTTGGAGACCTTTGGGTGGTTGAGAAGAGCTGAAGTGTTTGTACCAGATTCCAAGCAGAGAAGTGGCCATAAGGAAAGCTGTGCATCTTGCGCTGGGGTTAAAGGAAGGACAAAGGCTTGGTGACTGGGGTCCTGAGGAATCATTGGCAGTAGAGGAGTGTGATGAGCAGGACCAGTCCGGTCCCTGCAGTCCATCCCCATGGTCTCCAGCTGCTCTGTGGAGGACCAACACCAGGACCGTATTCACCCACGTTATCTTCATGGGTTTCCATTTAGATTTTTGAAAACTTTCGTTAACCAAACTAATCTACTCTGGATTCAATAAGCATTAAATAAAAAGGGAAGGTGAAGAGCTGTTATCATAAGAGTCAGTAACCTATGAATTAACTGCTTTTTCTGCAGTGCAGAAACTCACAGCTCTCAAAACTCAAAGCTTTGAAGTGGACAGGACACAGGCACTGAACTTTGTGTCTCTGAGCAAGCTTTTAACCTCTCTGTGCTATAGACGTTAATATGTAAAATGAGGCCCATGATACACACATTAGTGGATGAAAGGTGATGTCGACATAAAGCTTACCACAGTGGTCAATAAATATAGTTACTGTTGTTGTTGAGCACCATTGAGTCAATTCTGGCCCATAGTAACTCAGTTAGGGTTTCCAAGGAGCAGCTGGTGAGCTTGAACTGCCGACCTTTCAATTCAAACCAACCTTTCAGTCCAGCACATTGACCCACAGCACCACACATTACTGCTATAACCAGCTGTTTTCACATTTTCTGCCTTTTCCCAACCAACTGGTACCCCACAAGCCCTATTTGCTCACCACAGCCACCAGTACACATATGTAAGGAGATACAGATACCACTTAGGAATTGTGTTGTCCATTACAGTAGCCTCTAGCCCCATGTGGCCAATTAAATCTAAATTCCTAAATAAAATATTAAATTCAGTTTCTCTTTCACACTAGCTATTAGTCAAGGGTTCGGTAATTGTATGGAGTCCTGGTGTGGCACTGTAAGATAAGCACTGGACTGCTAACCACAAGGTCAGCAGTTCAAATCCACCAGCCACTCCTTAGAAACCCATACAGAGTCACTATGCATCAGAACTGATTCAATGGCACTTAACAACAAGTACTGTATTAGGCAGTACAAATATAGAACATGTTCCTGTTCAATTGGACAACACTAGTTAGGATATGTAAGTAATAGCAAACTCATTGTACTGTTGATTTCACAAGTGGGTCTAAGCTGGGGACATTTGGTAATGTCTGGGAACAGTTTTGATGGTAACAAGTAAAGGGTTGTTAGTCTGATCTAATGGATAGAGGTCAGGGGTGCTACTATACATCGTACAGTCCACAGGGCAGTCCCAAAGAATTTTCTGGCCCAAAAAAGTCCACAAAAGGGAACATATTTTTCTCATATAACTAGAAATTGGAGTCCTGGTGTGGTGCTATAAGATAAGCACTGGACCACAAGGTCAGTTTGAACTGCAAGGTCGGTGGTTCAAACTCACCAGCCACTACTCAGAAACCCCTATACAGGGTCGATATGAGTCGGAACTGTCTCAACGGCACTTAACAACAACAGCTAGAGATTAGGTGTTGGTGGGCTGCTGGCAGTGATTCAACAGCATCCTGGTCAGCACTTTGAGATTTCCTCTTCCATTCCCTTATGATGACAAGATGGCTGCTATAGGTTCAGGCAGCATATTCTCATTCAAAGGAGAATGCCTCAAAGGACAAAATTGAGTCACATGGCCACCCAGATGCAAAGGAAGCTGAGAAATCAAGATTTGGCCCTTCAACCTTTATCTGGCTAAGGAGAAAAGGTGGGATTTACTTTTCTGTCTGCCTCAGTATACACATGGGCTGTGATCTAACACTGTTCCGAGCAGTTAATTATGAAGTCAAAACACATCCTTGGCTGTCAAATATCCAACATGCTATGACATCTTCAAACTGCAAAGCATCACTTCACAAAAACTCTTCACCGTGTTTTCAGATGGTCTTTGAGCATGTATCTTAAAAAAAAAAAAAAAAAAAAGCCCTATTTTGAGCTTCCTAAAAATTCTATGAGATAGGATGGGTTATAGTTCTTCCCTATTTTGCCTCTCAGAATACTGGAGCTTAGTGAGGTTGATTGGTCAGGTGAGTAGCAAGTCACCTAGCAAGAAAGAACTAGAAACCAGGTGTCCTAGCATATCATCAAGACCTTTTCTATGGGGTCTTTCCTAAAGGTTTCACACGCATGTTAACCGGTCACTCTGCCTTAAGATTTCAATAATCACTCATACTGAGACTCAGATGATTGAAGTTACCTGCCCAGGAGTCAAAGCCAGCTCTGCATGACTTCAGAGTCCAGGCATGATGTCAACTTCAGCCTACTTTGCTGTGGACATCACCATAAATCAAATAGTCCTGATCCTTGTCTGTTCCCAAAGCATGCAGTAGATCAATAATGCTGCTAAAATAAAGACCAAATTCAAAGTATTCAAAGATTCCTTTTACCTGACTTTACACACACACACATACACATGCATGCATGCACCTGTCTTTCTGTCCATCAGATGACCCACTGTCCCTGGAATGATAAAATACCATTCTCCTCTGTATCTAGTTTTCCAAATGATATTTTATTGTTTTCCATGAAAGTTTACACAACAAATTAGGTTCTCATTTAATAATTTCTATTCAAATTTTTCAGTGACATTAGCATTTTTCATAATGTATCAACATTCTCTTTAATTATATATCTGGTTGTTTTGTAGAATATAGTTTATCTTCTCAGCTTTGCTTAGAGTAATTGTTAACCTCTTGATCTCGCATAGATTTTTTCTTTTTTAGTGGAGCACATTATTTATGGGTAATATCCTTTATTTTATGTATCAGCCTATTATTTCACTATAAGGTGACCTCAGGGGGTAGTTTCAGTTCAAGATTTAAAGAGTACTTCAAGGCAATAGCTTCAGGGCATTCTCTAGTCTCACCTAGTTTAGTAAATCTTAAGAATTTGAATTCTGTTCTGCATTTTTCTCCCATCCTGACAGAGTCTGTCTATTGTGGCCCTCATCAATAAGAGCAGGTAGTGGAAGCTAGGCACCATGTAGTTCTCAGAGCAGGACTCAAGGCAGATGAGGAAGTGGCTCATGTAATCTCATGTAGCTCTACGGACAGGGGTTGTTGTTGTTGTTAAGTGCCATTGTCGAGTCGGTTCCAACTCATAGCGACCCTGAATAGGGTTCCCGAGGAGCGGCTGGTGAGCTTGAACCACCAACCTTGCAATTCAAACTGACTTTGCAGTCTAGCACATTAACCCTTAGTGCCACACCAGGACTCCAATAGATAAGGGTGGAGTACCCAATAAGAAAGGTAGAAGAGACTTAATTGTGCTAACATTTTAGTCTGTATTGAGCAGTTTCACAGAGGTTTCCCTACATCTCTTGGTGAAAAACGTGAAACTATTCACTAAAGATCAGTTAGTAAATACAAGTTAGTCCCTGCTTTCCTTGTTTACCGAGTACTCCATTTTATCAGGGACTGTGAATTTGAAAAGAGGTTTTGATTCTCCAGGAAGGTGCTGTGGGAGAGATATCTGAGTTGGGTGAGAGACAGATGTCAGCCTTTCTTATATTATAAGCAAAATCTTCGACGTGGTGAAAAACTTCAGAAATTGTTCACTATATATTATAATATATAATTGTTCACTATATATATTACTAAGTAAGCACAAGTAAGCCTGTGCTTACCTTGCTTATTGGGTAATTTGACACTGTCTTTCGACTAGTTTCTTCTCTGAGATTTTGCATTTCTTTCTAATTCTAGCTCAAATGCCACCTCCTCCAGGAAGCCTGATCTAGTTTCCTCCAAGATGACTTAGTCTTTCTTTCCTATGCTTGGGTCACACAGTGTTTGAGGCTCTTGACAGCTGTGCTACTCAAATTTTAATATTTATACAAATCACCAGAACATCTTGTTAAACGTGAGCATTCTGACTCAGTAGGTTTGGGATGGATCTACAATGCCACATTTCTTCTAAACTCCTATGTGAAATGGTGCTGTAGAGTACATCATAGTCTTCATCATATTAGAGTTCATTCTGGCCATGCCAGACCCCTTCACATGCTTCATTGCAGTCTCCCTAATGGCAAGAACCATAGACTGCCACATACCTTACTACAGTGCCTGGAACATGATTGTTATTGTTGTTAAATGCCATCAAGTCGGTTCTAACCCATAGCAACCCTGTGGGTTTCTGAGGACTGACTGGTGAGCTTGAACCACCAGCCTTATGGTTCAAACCAACCTTGCAGTCCAGCACATTAACCCACAGCACCACACCAGTCTGAAATTGAATGCAAATCAGAAGCAACACAATTCATTCTACCATCTAGCTCCCACGCACCTTCAGATGTGAATAGATTAATGTCTTGAGACATACATGATAAATATATGTATAATTATGAAATTGAAGACTTATTTTCTAACAATCTGACAGCTCTTACTTAGAATAGACCCTCAACAAACACTGATTGACTGACTGACTGACTGACTGACTGACTGACTGACTGACTGACTGAGATCAGCTGCTCAGAGCAGGACTCTGGTTTTTCAGATTGAGTCTGAGTCAGGTTCCTTAGGCCAATCACTATGACCATGGTGGTTTTTTCTTTCTTGCAGGCCTCTCCTGCTGCCCTGGCAAAGAGTGTGTTGGCTGAAGTCCCAAACCAAGTCGTGGACTATTACAATGGCAAAGGGATTAAACCAAAATGTTCATCGGAAGTGTATGAGTCTTCCAGGACACTAGCACCATAAACTCCACCCACTTTTACAGAGTTCCAAAATACTGTTCCTGATCATATTTAATACTTCTACTACTCCCATACTTAATAAAAGAACCACATACACATTTAAAAATAGCACGTTTTGGTGATTTTTAACTGATGATTTTTTTGCATGTGTAGCCCCAAGGCCTGGATCTGTTAAGCCGTTGTATTGTTAAAGACTTTTTACACAGAAACACAAGTAACAGTAATTTACTCTTTACAGTACAGCATGTCTCCTTGAAATAAAATGGTATCTGTATTGGTTTTTTATACAGGTTTGTTGAAATTTTGCTAAATTTCTTATTATATCTTTACACTGTAAAGCATTTTGAAACATTTCTTGAACGTCGATAGCCAAAACATATTTGGTTTTATCTGCTACAGGATGAAAGACTTTTCAAAATGGCAGATGCATGGACTGTATTTTGCATGTTTAAAATAAAAAAACAAAAACCCACACTGTTTTTGCAGTTGTTATCTATAGTCCCTCCCTGCTAAGAATGGTCTCCCTATTGAAGAGGAGGTTTGTTCACCTAGAAGTAGTTCTCTTGAAGTGGACCCAGGCCTTCTCAAACTTGACTGAACACAACTCACCTGAGAATCTGGTTAGGATCCAGATGCTAACAGAGTCAGTAAGTCTGCATGGAACTTGAGATTCTGCCTTTCCAACAAGCTCCCAGGTGATGCCAGTGCACTCACCAGGTCACACTGAGAGTAGCAAGACGCTAGAAGTTAGGGTGTGGTTGTGGAGACCATCTGGAACAGGGAAGTTTCTAGTCTGCTTGAGAATAGCACCTCATCCTGCCAGTAGTACAAACACCCTACCTGTTTCCGGTGGGGGAGGCAATAGAAAGCAATGAGACTAATTCCAGAAATTGTGTAACCCAAATCAGTCTCTCTGCTTTATAGTCGCATCTCTTCCTTCAACAAGACTGGAGAGTGCTTCGCCTGACCAGCCCCTGCACTCTACAAGGAAACATCACTCAACACCTCATGGATGGTACCATGTCTCTGGTCCTTAGGAATGGCCCAAACGTCTTCACTGGAGCCACAATAATGAACACTTGTCCACAGCAAATGGCCACGCAGAATGGCTCCCTGGACACCTAGTCCACAAAGTTGATCTTTGTGGTTAGTGCAGCGTTTCACTTGGCCTGTTTTTCTCACTCCTGAGAGTCAAGTCTACCAGAAATTTCTGGAGCCACTATTTGGGGTGGAGGTGTTTTGTAAGCTGGCCAGTCTTGAATCAAAGGAATAAATGTTTCACTTGCACAGTTTTCTCACAGAGACAAGGACAAATGTTTTGCAAGCATAAAAGGCACAAGGTGGAACTTATTTTTGGTCAGAAAATGGGAAGTAAATCACAAGGCATAATAATAGTCCTGTGTGCTTGTTTTCTAGGACTCGGGGGATTGAATGTGAACAGGCAAGTCAAATGTTTTGTATGATTTCCAGAGATATAATTATAGATCCTAACGTTGCAAATACATGTCAGCCAAATGCACAACATTTTGGGAATGATGGTAATAATGTATGACTGAAAAACCACAAATACTTAAACTGTATTGTTTTATGAATAAATTGGATACTTACGGAATTTTTTTTCTAAGACTTGTGGTCTTGTTTCTCTTTTCGAGGGAATTTCCTAACACTGACTTTTTTCATGTAGATGACCTAGTCTCCAAATTCATAATAGCTCTGTTACAGTCCCGTTGAAACATGTGGATCATTGCTTCTAACAAACAAGGAGTTAAAATATTTAGGCTTTATACTGGAGCCCTGGTGGCACTGTAGAGTAAGCACTGGACTGATCATTGAAAGGTCAGCAGTTCATACCAACCAGTCCATGGAAGAAATATGAGATTTTCTACTCCCATAAAGATTGACCGCCTCAGAAACCCTATATAGGATCACTATGCATCAAATTTGAACGCATTGGCAGTGCATTTCTTTTGTTTGTTTGTTTTTTATATATGCTGGACAAGGACATCTTACTTGGTAAAGAGAGAGACAAAGAAGAAGACCCCCAACAAAATGGATTGACACAGTGGCTGCAATAATGACCTCAAATATGACAGTAATTGTGAGGATGGCACAGGACTGGGCCCTGTTTCGTTGTGTTGTGCACAGGGTCGCAATGAGTAGGAAACAACTCCAATGCATTTAACTACATACAACATGCTACAGAAAAGAAGCCCCCCCGCACAGAGCAGGTAAGCACTTAACTGCTTATCAAATGGTTGGTAAATCGAACCCACTTAGTGACAATGTGTGAGAAAAAGCCTGGTAATCTGCTTCCATATGATATAATCTAGGAAACTATGGGGACAGTTCTAGTCTGTCACATGAGACTGCCATGAGTCCAAATCAACAGCACTTAATAACATGTTACAGAAATTGCTGATACTTGTTTCTAACCCTAAGTGAGTGAATGAATAAACTTGTTATCTGCTCTTGATCAATCTCAAATTCACTGTAGATTTAACAAGAAGGATAAGAATTTGTGACTATCGATCTCAAATGAACGATGTCATTCTCAGATATCTGCTGTCAAGAAGCCGGGACTCTGGAGGCTAGTAAGGACAGAGTCCAGTTTGCCTGGCAGATTCTTCAGATGGTTTACTTTACTGACCATTTCATAGCCATACTCAAGCCTAGCTCAGAAACAAATAAAAATAGTTAACAATTAGTGAGGGTGAGTGAGGCCCTAACAATAACCAACAATTATTAAGGCACTCTTCTAAGTGCAAGCATTATCTTATTGATTTAGAGAGTCTAAGTACTCATTTAACCCTCCCTACTGTCCTACACCCTCGGAAACCCTGTACAGGGTCGCTATGGGTCGAAACCGACTCGACGGCACTTAACAACAACAACAACAACAACTGTCCTATGAATATTATTATTAGTCTCATCAGATGACAGAATGAGATGCAGAGACATTAGGTAACTTACCCAAAGTCACACAGCTATCAAAAGGAAGAGCCGGTATTTGAACACAGACTCTCTGGCTCCTGAGTCCAAATTCATTGTATAATCCCCACTTCAGCTATTCTTTTGGCCTTAAAATGATCTACTTGCCATATTGAGCAGTAGATTACTAGGAGATTTGAGAATAATGAGCCTTAAAACATGACTTTTGCATGAACATGGCATAAGAAGACACTGTGAGGAACGCTAGAGTTAAAGTTAAGAAAGGTAAATACTATTACATATCTAATCCTGCAGTAACAATCAGAGCAGTCTGTGAAGAGATACTTAGATAGACTCTCGAGGTACACAGGGCTGAGAAGATGAATGGGACTACACTCATAAAACTATATAGAGTTCACAGAGGAATATTTCTACATACATATATATATATTTTAGGTGTGGTGCTGTGGGTTAATGCTCTGGATTGCAAAGTCAGTTTAAATCACAAGGTTGGTGGTTCAAGCTCACCAGCTGCTCCTAGGAAACCCTATACAAGGTTGCTATGAGTCAGAACTGACTCAACAGCACTTAACAACAACATAAATGTACCTGTGAATACAGAGGTACATATAGGGGGCAAAGTTATAAAAATTTCTTAGATTTTTTCATAACCTAACGCCTTGAGAAGGTGAGTTGCACACCAAGAAGGTGGGTACACCAAGGTCAGTTGGTATACGACTGCACAAAGACAACGTTCTACAGTCTACTTTGGTGAATAGTGACTGGGTTTTAAAAGCTCATGGATGGCCATCTAAGGTACAACTACTAGTCTCTCTCTGCCTGAAACAAAAGAGTGCATAAAATCAAAAGCACACACTCCAAAACACAATTATGTAAAGGACTAATGGACTATGTGAACCCCAGGTACCATGACGCTGATATCAGAAGAACTAGATGGTGATCACTCTGAGTGGGATCACAATAGGAGGTCCTACATAGAGTGGGAGGAAAATGTGGAACAAAACACAAAATCATGAAAAGATGAGGTTTACTGGTCTGATAGAGAATGGAGGAACCAACGAGCATATGACCTTAGAAACCCTTCAAGCCTGAAACTGAACTCACCCCAGTGAGGAGGTTCACCTTTCAGCCAAATGTTTCAGTGGCCCATCAGGTAAACAATAACACAAGAAACATACTCACTAGAACAATCAAACCATACTAGATCAAAAAGGCACAATTTGCCCAGGGTTAAAGTTCGGAAGGCAAGAAAGGATAGGAAAGAAGGAAATTTGGCAATGATAAATACAGGGAGGAAGTGGGAAGAGTAATGATAAACTGTGGGGATTACATAGTTTCTATATCACAAAACAAAATGTGTTGTTCTTGTTGTCGTTGTTATGTGCCGTGGAGTCGGTTCCGACTCATAGCGACCCTGTACAGGGTTTCCGAGGCTATAAATCTTTATGGGAGCAGAAAGCCTCATCTTTCTCCCGCGGAATTGCTGGTAGTTTCGAACTGACCCTGAGGTTTGCAGCCCAATTCGTAACCAAGTCGGTACTGACTCATAGCGAACCCCCATACACAACAAAATGAAACATTGCCCAGTCCTGGGTCAACCTCACAATCATTGATACGTTTGAGTCTATTGATGCTGCCACTTTGCCAATCTTGCTGGGGGTCTTTCTTTTTTTCTCTGACCCTCCACCTTACCAAACATGATATCTTTCTCCAGAGACTGGTCTCTCCCAACAATATGTCCAAAGTATGAGAGACAAAGTCTGGCCATCCTGGCTTTCAAGGGGCACTCTGGCTGCACTTCTTCCAACACACATCTATTTGTTCTTTTGGCAGTCCATAGTACTTTCAATATTCTTCTCCAACACCATAACTCAAATGCATCAGTACTTCTACAGTCTTCCTTATTCACTGTCCAGCTTTCACATGCATGTGAGGTTATTGAAAATAACATGGCTTGAGTCGGACGCACCTTAGTCCTCAAACCGACATCTTTGCTCTTCAAAACTTCAAAAGGTCTTGTGCAGCAGATTTGCCTAATGCAATAACATCATTTGATTTCTTGACTGCTGCTTCCCTGAGTTGATGATTGATCTGAGAAAAATGAAGCCTTTGACAACTTCAATCTTTTATTGATTGATAAGAAGTTTGTTTATTGGTGCAGTGGTTAGGATTTTTGTTTTCTTTACATTGAAATGCAATCCATACTGAAGGCTGTACTCTTTGATCTTCATCAGTAAGTATTTTAAGTCCTCTTCACTTTCTGCAAGCAAGGTTGTATCATCTGCATATCACAGCTTGTTGTTCTATAAATTTTCACCCAAATCATAATTTACAATAATAAAATTTAAATGGAAAACATGGCCTTTGCCCCCATTTCAGAAAGACATGTCTCATCTGGTGATCTAAGCTTCCAATTGTAGACTCTTGACATTTGGTGATGTCCAACAACCTGTGGTGAGTAGTACAGAATCTCAGAATACTTACACGTCTTTCCAACTTCTTCCCATCATGGAGATGCTGTAGGTCGGACATAACCTACGCAAATGATTCCAGAAGTTGAGCACACCACATGAATAATAGAAGAGGTGCAGATTTAAATAGGGACATAAAAGTGGAAAGTAATGAGGATAAAGGGAACTCGGAAGCATGTGTCCAGGAGATAGCAGCTACAACTCTAGGGGGCCATGCAAGAATGTACCAGCAGATTCAGTGTTTCAAGAGAATTGGAAAACCTAGCTATTTTCCATAAAAAATCTACCAATGTGTGAATATTGGAAGCTTATTAAAAATTCAACAATTGCTTTAAATATTACAAGAGTCAAACTATACACAAAAATTAGCTAGGACTTCATTTTGGCTCTGAAATGCAAATTAGGAAGAACTGAATTGACCCCTCCACTCAGCCTTAACAGATAACATGCAATCTTTAAAATGATTGAAGACCCAAGAGACTTTGTTTCTACAGTTTATAGATCTTAATATTTGCTGTATTGCAATTTTAACTGAAAATTTTAATATACTCATTCATTTATTTTGAAATAATAATAAACCAACATAAGTTTTAAATGTAAGAACGATTTTCTAAAGCAACAAATAATGATAAGAACAGCATTGTTTTACATTTCTGCAAATTTCTTTAATGCCTTGCTTAATAAAAGGCTGCTGTGTTGTCCTTGATTGACATTCAATCTGTTGTGAAATGGCATGGCGTTTTGGTTGAAGGACTTAAAGTTCTTGAAGTGAGTCACATGGATATGCTGTTGGAAAGAGAGGAAGGAGTATTGGTATTCTTTTTACAGTATCAAAACTTAATGAGTAGAATTTTCTTAATAGTCAGTTACAGTGTAGACTCTGAAATCACATCAGTAAGCCTTTCCTTGCATTTTCAATGGCTCTTTTACCCCTTCATGACTTTGAAACTTGATGCATTCAGTCACTTGAATGATATTGTTATTCAGGAAGCCTGGGGGCTTAGTAGGATAAGCACTGGACTTCGAACCACAAGCCTTTTGCTCCTGAAAATGTTTTTCAAAGCTTTTAAAAACCTGCAGGGATGGGGAATGTTTGGCCCTTGGGCCATATAAAGTCTATAAAACCATTTGGTCTGACCCTGCCAAGGTAACAGCAATTCAAGCCATCCAAATATAGCAAGCTAATTTTTAAGTTGA